TGACTATACATTTAATGCTAAAAATTACATTTTTGTATAGCTAACTTTCTTTCTTAAAGTAAAAATAGCTACCAAATGATCAGTCATATGTATCATATAAATAAGTTTACATGTAGTTAATGAGGCCCTTTGAAAATTTGAAAACTTGTAAAAATGTACACTAGTAAAAATGTATATAATCTCTAAAGATTTCCCATAAATTTTATTGTAAAAAAATACTGACAAACATACATGACATAAAAAATGAAGCATCAACACTAAGCTGCTTACATTTAACATAATAAAATAATTTTAAAAAATAACAGTAAGGTTATTTAAGATGACAAAGTTTTTATTCCCAAAGTAGACGTATTTTTAAGTATTAAGCATTCCAATTTTTTACTTCCTGGTTATAACTTAGCAAAACAAAAGAAACATACCTGTCATGAAAGGCTAGTCAGAAATTAGCACTGTCAAGAAAAGATCTTTAACATTCCAGAACAGCATCCTAGCAGTAAATAATAAAAATAAAAAGGTTCCCAAAATTCCCTTTTCTAGGTGTTTATCCTATGAAAGTATGTAGTCACAAAGATATATGTACACGATATTCCTCATGCTCATTACTTATAAACAGGAGAAAAATTCTGATGCCTATCAACAGGTTATTGTGATGTGTAGTTAAGGAGATTCCAACTCACAGAGATCCCTAAGTGACAAACTAGAATTGCCCTAACATATTTAGCTTTGCTGTCACCTTTGTAGGGGAAGAGTGCCAGGAACAGCTGGTTGGATTCAAACCACCAATATTTTTGGTTAAGAAGCTGAGTTTTCAACCATTGCACGACTATGCACATCCTAAACTACCACTGCCATAAACAATGACTCAGTGGTTGTATAAGCTGTAAGCTGTAACATAGACATATTACGGAAAAATAAATACCAAACTGTCAACTCTTTTCTAAAAAGTATAAACAGTTAAGAATATCTTCTACCTTTTTCATTTTAAAAAGAAAACAAAATAAGAGCGAAAGATTCTCTGACCTTCTAACATTCTTTTCTCACTTATTTCCATTAAATGTAAAAAAATTATTACTACTACAAAGGCATCCACTTCCAAAATAATGTGCCTCCGGAAACTCTATGAACTTTGATAAATGTTGATAGTTGTAGAGGGGCTTCAGGCCTTTCGTTCACAGGGTTGCTATGAGTTGTGCTTGACTTAAGGCAATCAACAATAACGACAACTATAAGGATAGAAAATTATCGGTACTGTCTGTGTTAAGACCATTTAATGTAGAAACAGATAACTAATAAAACGGGTATGAGGATCCAAACAGCTGGGAGCATAGGTAGGAGGATGGGTGAGGGGCATAATCATAGGGTCATAAAATTGGATGGGTGTGTGGAGGGGTGGGTTAAGGAAATGGGAAAGATTCAGTGTGAAAAACAATGTATACAAATTTTCTAAGTAAACCAGTATAAAATAGAAAGTTTCTATTTTTTAAAAACAAAAATAGAAAGTTATCTAGTTGCACCTGAAGGAAAAACATTATCAATTGAAAGACACTTCTAAGATAATTATAGGAATTAGAATACATTGTTAATATAAAGTAGCTCAACTCTCCTGCTATACAAGGAGGAATCTGGTCCAGCAGATTTGACTTGTCTGAGGTCTCACCGCTATTCAGTGGCAACAACAACCATACCTAAAGCCATGAAATTCTGCTCTTCTCAAGCACACAAGTAACTACTTAAATTGTCAGAGTCAAGACTTACATCAAGGTATTTTGTTAGTAATTATCTCTTCAATCTTAACTTCATTTTCACCTGAGGATTAAAAGTAAATTACTGACAGCAACAAATACTTAGATTTTGTATACTTTTAAAATGAAAAAAATTACATGTTTTGAAGTTCACTGGAAGATCTATAATTATTATCACTCTCAGCAACATTACCTTGACGTAATCATAAAGAGTGCACTTTTGGTCTATAATTTTTTTAAAATTTTTATTTTATTATTTTTGTGTGCATGTACCATCAAATCAGATCTGACTGGTACAGGAGGAGATTGTCCCTCCTTCCCCAGCAGAGCATCTGGTAGATTCGAACCATTTGCCTCTGGGATTGTAGTTGTAGCTCCTTGCCACTAGGCCACCAGAGCTCCCCTTTGGTCTTTACTTTTAAAAGACTTAAAAGATTCTGAAAACAAAGACTTACCTGTCTGCCAGGCTGGAGTCCTGAATTGGGGGAGAAGATTAGTTCCTGAAGAAGCAGCCTGAGCAGTTCGGGGTTCAACAGCAGACAGAAAATTCATCACTGAAGATTCTTTAGTGTTAGTGATGGCACTGTTCACATTAGTTTCAAATATTGTGGAAAGACCTACATTTGAAGATAAAATACATGCATTATCAATTATATTCCTATTTTTAAAAGGAATTTCTGGTAATTGAGGCCAAAAGTTCTACAATCCTAAGATCTTTTATTGTTAAATAGCAAAGAAATATTAATTTGACCAATCATCAAAAACCGTCAAAGCTAGAGGAAAGCCCTAGGATTGACCCCAGGAGGAGAGGTAGCAGATATCACGGAATGTATATGGGTAGGGTGAAAGGGAGGGTAGAGCGAGGTTTGGCTAAGATGGGGTACATAATGGTACTGAGGTTATAAGACAACATGTATATAAGTGACTGAATAAAAACCAATTAAAAAAGACACAATTTCCAAAGCTGTATACCTATTAATTACCTAGATCTTCTCTAAGTGGTAAGAAGACAAAGCTTTTATTCTTATTTTCTTATTTCCCATATTCGTGTCCTATACATATTTGTAACCTAACACAGAAATTATACACAGATAGACATTCTTCTGGTATTCTCTGCTTTCAGCCAAGATCCA